AGTACTGGATGAGCTTATTCTGTCCTTACATAGTACCTTTTTTTTTTTTAATCTCTAAGGCATATCTCTCCACACTCACTCTAAAATCATGCCTTAGAATGATTTTGTTGCTTCTTAACATCTGCCTGATATGGACTGCAGGAAACCCCAGGGTCACTCCTGAAGTTACACGGGATGTATGTTTATTGGCTAGAATGATGGCTGCTAACTTGTACTTCTCCCAGATAGAGGATCTTATGTTTGAGGTGTCAAAAGAATCATTACTTCCACTTAGATATGTTATATAATTCTCCTGTTCAGAGTACTTGAATACATTTTTTTTCTTGTTATATAATGTATTTCTTATTACCATTTTTTTTTCACAGTTATCTATGTGGCGCTGCAATGATGAGCTTCTTTCTCGTGCTCATGAACTTCATAGGTCTTCAAAGAAGGATGCAAAACACTATATAGGTATGCAATAGAGATGACTTCATGTTTTTATCATCCTTGCTTGAAACTTTTTCAATAGTTGGTAAAACTTCAAATCTTTGGCTTACTAAGTTGAACTTTTAGCAGAGTAGCATGCCCAATTGTTGAAACTAGCTGAAAATTCTCTTAGTTCTATTAACTTTTTTGACTTTTTTTAACATTTAAGTGTGCAATGGATTTATTATTATTATTTTTTTTAACTATGCTTTTCGGATGCAGAGTTTTGGAAGCAAATTCCTCCAAATGAGCCTTATCGCGTTATTCTTGGTGATGTAAGAGACAAGCTGTACAGTACACGTGAACGTGCTCGCCAATTGTTAGCCAATGGAATCTCTGAAATTCCTGAGGAAACAACCTTTACAAATGTTGAACAGGTCTCTCCCAACCACCAGCATTATGTATTTGGTTGTAGACTTATAAAAGAAACTTAATTGCCAGTCTACCCAATTTTAAGATTTGTTCAGCTTTAAACTTGGGGTAGTCTTTGAATAAATTACAATTGACATTCAGTATTGAAATCATGTTTGATTGTTTCCCATCTTTCATGCTCATGCAACAATGTTTTGTATTAGAGCTGATTTTGTCTTTTTGCTCCCTTGTAGTTCCTGGAGCCTCTCGAAATGTGTTACCGGTCACTCTGCTCCTGTGGCGATCGGGCAATTGCTGATGGAAGCCTTCTTGATTTCTTACGGCAA